GTAGCCCTAAAGGCCCTAAACCCTAAAACCTAAACCCTTGACCCGAAACCCTTAATGCCCTGTCCGAATCCCAAGAGACTCTTGGGGTGCCTGTACCCATAGTGTACTTTGGCCCCAAGGTACCGATATAGAGGGACTGTTGTAAGGCTAAAACGTGTATACTATTTGGGCACATGGACCCTTAAACCCTACACCCTAACCCTTAAAGGAGCCCTTAAACGAGCCCTTAAAGGAACCCTTACAGAAACCCCAAAGGAACACTTTGGGCACACTGACCCCTAGGGAGAGAGACAGACAACAAGCTCACTTGATTACACCACTGCCGCTGACGTCGAGGCGCCGTCTTCCACCGCTGCAGAAGGTGCACGGTTTAGACTGTACCCTAAACCCTAAACCCTAAACCCTAAACCCTAAGCCGTGTAGGGTGCTATCAGTGAACCGGCTTGAGGACTTCTGCTAGGGCTCCGGGGGTTGAGGTTTTGAGGGTGAAGGCCTTGTGGTGTGTAGAGGCTGTAGGGTTTAGGGTTTAGGGTTTAGGGTTTAGGGTTTAGGGTTTAGGGTTTAGGGTTTAGGTTTAGGGTTTAGGGTTTAGGGTTTAGGGTTCGAATTGAGGGTTTTGTCTTTGTTAGAACTTGGTCTTGGGGGTTTGGGATCTCATGGGTTTTGGTGCGGTTTAAGGCTTTGGGGTCTACAGTGACTTCAGTAAAACTCTAACAAAACTGCAGGAGCTACAGTTTTGGTATGGCAACCCTAAACCCTAAACCTAAACCGGTACTTCAGCTTAAGTCCTTCGATCGCCAAGTCATCAAGCCCTGACGCTACACTACAGCCACAGTAGGTTTAAGGTTTAGGATTTGGGGTTTAGGGTGCGAGATTTAGGGTTTTGGAGTTGGGAGAACCCTACGTAGCCCAAGCTATATGGGAAGTATCATCAGCAGCTCCTCTTGGGCACGGAAAGACCCAAAGGGTCCAAGTAACAGTATCGCATACTTTTGGCGCCAAATATCCGCTGAGAGTCTTTATAAGAGCTTACTTAAAGGGTTTAGGGTTTAGGGTACATGGACCATTTGGGAGATTGAACAGCCGAATCTAGGGCCTAAATAATTACCAATACTAATTTGGGGGTTCCATACTACAGTTATAGTATCTTGGGCCCCAAAACCCTATTCTAATTATTAAGGCCCCTACATCCTAAACCCCTTAAAGTAGCCCTTATAGAACCCTTTAAGGAACCCATTCAAGGAACCCTAAAACCCTATTCTAATTATTAAGGCTCCTACATTATACTGTCGTCCATGATCGAGGTAGTGGAAGACGTCCTGCTCTCAGGTGCCAACGATGCTGGCGGCAGGTGCAGAACTTGTCGTGCTTTCAAGTTGAAGGTTTGGGGATTTCAGGGTTTTTAGGGTTTAGGGTTTAGGGCTTTAGGGCTTTCAGGGTTTAGGGTTTCGGGTTTATAGGGTTTAGGCTCTAGGATAGGCGTGCAAGTCATGTGTTGCATTGTGTAAAAACTCCTTGCCGCCAGGGGCGTCGTCAAGCGGCGAAAGCGCCGACGTGCGCCTGGACCGAATAGAGGATGCTGCTGACAGAAGGATAATATAGGGCCGTAAAAATTACAAATACTATCTTGTGGGTTCGTTCTTATAGCTATGGTATAATACACCCCCAAAACCATATTCATTCTAATTATTCAGGCTCCTACTCTAAGCCTCCCCATAGCCTACCGAGACCTTTGTAAACTGGAGGCTATCGGGGTCTCTAGAGCCCGTCTAAGGCAAGCATTTGCGGATACTGGGATTGGGGGACTCAGTAAGTGGTTGAATTACGGTTGATGCTATAAATCCTGCATTACCTTAAGGACCCTAAACTATGGGAATTATGGTACATTCCTTGTTAGGGGTAGCGCAGGATTGAGATCATCAACCGTAGTAACCCCAGATTACTTGACGCGTAGCCTACTTACTAAGTTGGCCGCGGAGCCTTTCCGCATAGGGTTTTGGGTTTAGGGTTTAGGGTTTGGGGTTTGGGGTTTGGGGTTTTGGGTTTTGGGTTTTGGGTTTAGGGTTTTGGGTTGTCGGTTTACGGTTTAGGGTTTAGGGATGACCTGCGTTCCAAGGTCAATGCCGAAGGCCAACCAGAGCGCCGGATGAAACGACGCCGAAAGTCGCTGGGACAAGAAGGGTGCAAGGTTACGGGCGTTCCCGGCTTTTTCCCAAAGGGTCCCAGTTATAGTATATTATATACCTTTGGGGCCCAAATACCTACAAAGTAGCTACCATATTAATACTTGGACCCTTTGGGTTTATGATTTAGGGTTTGAGGGTTCATGCTCGCTTCAGCGTATGGGATTTGTTGTTGTAGAGGCTTCCGGGCTCCAATCCTTTAGGATAATCCTGAGTTTAGGGTTTAGGGTTTAGGGTTCCACTCATCACCACCTGTCACAGTGTAGTGGTCAGGATCATTAGTATTCATACTTCCTTATCGTCCCTATACTCTTCGACTATCAGGTTATCATGCACTCCAAATCTCCATTCCGGTTATTCAGGCCATATATCGTAGTACCAGCAAGTAGCTTGGCTTTAGGTTGTTCTGTGCTGTCTGAATGCGTTTGCAAGACCCATTAAGGCTTTTAAACAAAACTAAACCGTAATCCTACTAAGAGTAAGCCGCAAGCTTGAAGTCCTGAACCCCAACCCTTTCACGTCCTAAACCCCACTCATGAAACCATATACCCAGAGACTCCAAAACCCCTTATTAAGGAAAAACCTGAAATTATAATAGGAACCCAAATAAGATTTAAGGTATATTCCTTAATTAAGGGGTTTTGGTCTCTGGGTACATAGTCTTATGGGCCAACTGCATTCTCCGATGCTCATGTAAATGCGTGTCAGAACGAGCCAAGGGCACGGACATCGATCCGTACATGAACCGTAGATTGTACTACCTGCTTGCTGATAGCCTAGTTGACGTTCCGGGTCCTAGACCACCAGCCGGGTTTAGGCTTTAAGGAAAATCAATGTCTACAACAACCTTAGACTTTAAACCCTTTAGCGTGAAAACTAAATTCACCAGGCTCCCTGCAACGAACAAGGAGGCCGTGCCCCTCGAGACGAGGCGCTTTACTCCCAAGAAAGCATTAGGGTTCAGGATTTGGGGTTAAGGGTGCTTTGGGTTTGTTGTGTTTTTACAGTTGTTGATGCTTGGAGTTTAACATATAAAAAGGTCTAGCAACCCAGGGTTCTTGTCTATGATCGGACACCTATGGGTTGTCTTGGAGTAGGGTTCCTAAACCCTAAACTTCAAATCACATGGCTCGAGCTTTCGGGTTGTCTTGGAAGAGGGTTCAGCATTCTTTCGGGTTCGGGTAAGATTCAGAGCATTGCCCAATTTGGATTCAGGGTGAGTGTCTTGGCTTAGAGTATCTAGCGGCTAATCTAGCGAAGTAGTGTTCTAGAAAAGCGGTGTTACATAGGCCTCTAGAAAAACTCTGCGTCGCATGTGTGATGCCGGTACCGTTCAGGCATGTGCGGGGGTTCTAACTATTAAATTGTTAAATGGCCGCCGAACGGTGGTCTCCGGAGACTATTCCGTAAGCCAGGGGGTGTACATTGCTTGTATCTTTGCACCGCTAGCCTTAAAACACACGCCATGACAAAGCATCAGAAGACCACCTAACACCCCATGAAACGGCATGAAACATGATAACGCGCTCGGGAACCCTGTAAAACCCATGACGACCCCGTGAACAAAGCCGGGTACAGGCCCTGAAATTCCGACCAAGTTAGGGTCTTGCTAGCTGTGCAGGTATCCTTTCTGGGTATATTCTACTATGGGGGCCTAAATTTTAAAGATTAGCAATACAATTTTGGGGGTTCCTTATTCTAAGTATATTTTTGTATACACCCAAAGGCCTATTCTAACTATTAAGGCCCAAACATTGCGCGACCCTACGACAAGTTGTGCCCCTCTGGGCCGAGCAGCTCAGCAAGACAACCGACGACGGCTACCACAACCACGACGACGAGGACGACAACACCGACGACGATTACTACCACAAATACAACTACTACCACTACTAGTACTACCACTCCGACGACGACGAGGACGTCGACGAAGAAGTCGAGGACGACTGCTACTACTACTGCTGCCGCTGCTCCTGCTCCTGCTCCTGCTCCTGCTCCTGCTCCTGCTCCTGCTCCTGCTCCTGCTCCTGCTCCTGCTCCTGCTCCTGCTACTGCTACTGCTACTGCTACTGCTGCTGCTGCCATTCTGACTGCTATCGCTCCTGCTACTGCTAGAAACTACTCCTTCTACAATATTTCTAATTACACGTCTTCTGCTGCTGCTGCAACTACAACGAGCCACAGTGCAGCTGCCACTACTACTACTACTACTACTACTACTACTACTACACCTACTACTACTACTACTACTACTACTACTACTACTGCTACTACTACTACTACTTCTTCTCAAGTCTTCTCAACTTTGGGATGCACAGGTCGAGGAGCAGGACTGCCGCGAGCCCCATGAGGCCATGGATTTGGGGCGCGGAGTTTAGGGTTTCGAGTTTAGGTTTAGGTTTAGGGTTAGGGTTTAGGGTTTGGTGTAGCTGGAAGATCATGGAACTTAGGATTTAGGATGGTCCAAGTTTTCTGGGTTTACTGTATGGTCTAAGGTTTGGGGTTTCCGGGGAAGCTACTTGAAAGAGTAGGTTGAGGTACTCGTAGAGGCTTCAAATCCCTGAGTTGGGAGGTACTGTACTTAGAACCCTACTTATAATACTTATAACCTTCTAGGCAAGTCCCTTGATCTTCAAAGTGGAGTAACGATCTAGGATCTTAGAGTTTAGGGTTAGATTTGGGGGCTTGATTCAGAGCAAGTTTAGGAGCTGTTGCTGAATTAAAGTCCCCCACTTTCACTATGCAGCAAGGACAACCACAGGGACGCGCGCAACGAGTAACCTCCCAGTGACCGCGTATCCTAGACTCGAGACAAGCCCTCTGCAACTCCCATGTTCTGTTCTTCAGGCTCAGCTGATTTCAGGACCCAAACCCTGAATTCTAAGCTCTGACCTCAGAAAACCCAACCTATGCATCAAAGACTTTGACAAACAGCAAACGTGTCAGGCTATTATGCAGCCCGTGTTAGACTCTCTTATAAAACCCAACTTCTCAATCAAAGGGTTCCAAACCCCTTAAGGCCTAAACCCTTAAAGACCTCAAAGGCACCCTTAAGAATCCCAACGAAAACCCCCCGTGAAAGCCAAGTAAGTTCAGGCCAACGAGCCCCACCAACGAGCGGGCGAGCTCACCACGGTGGAGACCTCATCTTGGTTTGGGTTTAGGGCTTAGGGTTTAGGGTTTAGGGTTTAGGGTTTAGGGTTTAGGGTTTAGGGTTTGGGTTTAGGGCTTTCGGACTTCGGGTATAGAGATGGGTTGGGGGTTTAGGGTTTCGGGTTTAGAGATCCGGGGTTTAGAGATTCGGGGTTTGGGGTTTAGGGCTTATAGAGATTAGGGTCTAGGGTTCATGGTCTACGGATTGAGGCTTATGTTTTTAGGTTAGGGTCTAGGGTTTGCGGTTCAGGGTTTAGGGTTTGAGATTTGAGGCCTGACTTAAAGCGTTCCTAAAGAAGCCACCAAAAAGATTCCTGCCCCTAAAACCCTAAACCTCTTTAGTTTTTCAGACTCTAAATCCTAAACCCTAAAACCCAAAACCTCTCTAGTATATCAGACCCTAAACCCTAAAACCCAAAACCTCTCTAGTATATCAGACCCTAAACCCTAAAACCCAAGACCTCTCTAGTATATCAGACCCTAAACCCTAAAACCCAAAACCTCTCTAGTATATCAGACCCTAAACCCTAAAACCCTAAACCTCTCTAGTAGATCAGTTAGGGCTCGTAGAAGGGATCCTCCGGGCTTGATCCAAGGGTCTTTTTTTTCGGGTTCTGCCCGGAATTCTCTGGGTTTTCATTTGGCCTTCTAGGGTTCGGTTGGGGTGTTGTGGATAGGGTTTAGGGTTGAGGGTTTAGGGTGTAGGGGTTTAGGGTTAAGGGTTTAGGGTTTAGTCTAGGTTGGGTTACTATAAGGGTTGCGATAAGGGCAGGACGGGTAGGATTAATTGTTTTACAGCGTATACCAAGCTTAAGCCCTAAACCCTAGTCCTTAAAGCCCCATGTAGTCGCAGGTCCGAACCTCCGGAGGACGCCGCACCGCGAAAGCCGCCTCTTCAGCGAAAGAGTCACTGCCTCGGTGCAGCTGTAGGGTTTGGGATTATTCGGATCTATCATACGTGCGCGAATGTAGACGAAACAGAGAGCAGGATCCTTATCCTAAGGGCATGGTGGGTTTTCTTCAGGCTGTGGGTTTAGGGTTTAGGCTGTCCGGTAATTCAGGCTTTAGGACGTCAGGCTCGTGATTTCGAGTTCCTCGAGTTGAGTGTGGAAAGGCGGGTGGTCATGGTATGCGATGGCATAGGCTTGGTAGTGGGTTTGGGCTTCAAGCTCTAAATGCAAGGCTGTGGCTAGGGTTTGTAGTTTTCATACAGCGGTTAGGGGGTCACACGTTGATATCAGGCCGCGTGGCGGCGGGCCTGTATGTTTTAGGGCATACACGGCAAGTGCTGTAAATTACATGACTTCGTGCGTGTGGCTGTGGAAATGGAGGGCTTCGTGCTTCGGGAAATCCAGGAACTAAAACTTAGGGCACCCGTTTTAGCACATGT